TTGTCTGGAATAATCTGGGAGTGCTTTCCAGGAAATTGCTGCTCACTCTGAGGGGTTTATTCAGCGAATCAGCCTTTAATTCTTTCCAAAATCACTTTTTTTTGTCGTGTTCTGCTCCTTGGGCCTGCTCCCTCTGGGGCTGGGAGCTGGGAATGCCCTTCCCAAAGCTATGGGGAACAGATCCCAGTCCCCATGGGAAGAGGGAAATATTTGATAAATTCCAGCAAAGCCAGGTTGGAAATGAAGGAACTTCTCCCAAAGAAGCCAGGAGGGCAAAGGAGAGGGAATTCACTGCCTGGATGAATGACAGCTGGAGGATTGGAAGGTAAAGACATCACCAGGATGGGGAAAAATAATATTAAAGGTGTGAAAGTTGGATTTTGCACCCACAAACTGCAAACTTCCACTGGTGTGAAAGTTGGTGAAATATTTGCACCCACAAACTGCAAATTCCGGGGCTCTGCTGCTGCTCAAAGCCCAACAGCCAAACTCCAATGCCCAGAGAGCAAAGGGAGGGATTTCTCAGGGTATGAGCTTGTGATACCCAGATTGTGGTGAATGGGAAGTGCTGCTTAAAGTGAGAATTCTCTGTGAAATAAACCCAAAACACACCTGAGTTGGTTTTTTTTTTCTTGTGGAGGAAGGATTTTTTTCCCTAAGTTCCACGCTTTTATCCGGTGTAGATCTCTCATCACATATTTAGGACAGCCCTGATGCTGCTTTGGGTCTCTGGATATTTTGGGAATGGTGAATCCTTGAAAAYTCATCTGCTGGATTTGGGTCAAATTTGACCTGCAGGATTTGTCCCACAGAAAAACCAGTGTCAGGGGGATGGATGGACACCCCTGAGCYGTGGGAATCCTTGGATTTCAGGCTGTTTTGGGTGGAATGTGCCCGTTCTCTGGGATTTATGGCCAGGCTGGCCTCGTGTGGGAGATGCTGTTCCCAAAAAGGGGGTTCCTCATGGATCAGCAGCCCCAGGGAAGGCTGATGGCCCCAAAGAATCT